GAAAGCAAGCAAGAAGTTCAAATTTTGAAGAGCCACAGTCAGAATTACACAAGTTTTATCAGCTACCACTATAAAGGATCTTTGTTCATGCCCTGCTAATTCCTAATCCTACATAATCCCTACTGCCTGGTTTTTTTACTACCAAGAGTAGATCAAGTTTGACTTATTTCTTTTAAGTAGAAAATACTTATATTTCCCTACTGTCTTCTTGCTTTTGTGCACATTAAGGGACTGGGATTAAATGTATGCTTTTCAGTAGCTCTACCCATACCACCAGGCCTGTAGTCCATGACATTCTTTTTGGAACAAATGGACAAAGCCAGTGAAACCAAAGAAAAATTTCCCCCTTTGTAGCAAATCTTTTCTTTAGTCCAATAACACCATTGAATACCCCCAACCATGGATATGTAGTCAGTCAACAAGCATTTATTAAGCACCTACTTACTATATGCCAGTTACTCTACTAAATGCTGGTGATATAAAGAAAGGTAAAAGACAATCTCCATTCTCAAGGAGCTCACAGTCCAATGGAGGAGACAGCATGAAAATAACTATAAAAATAACAAGATTTGTACGGGACAAATTGGAGATAATCAACAGAGGGATTGGGAAAGGCTTTCTTGGCTTAGTAGGTCTCCATGAGCTCCCAACTATGCATCTTAATTTAGCAAGATATTGCTAAATTAATGGGTCATTCATGGCTACGTTAGATAACCTAGACTGCTAACTAAGCAAGGTGATGCTACTTCTTAAATGCATGGAGAATTAAGAGTATTGGTTGAATCTTGGCTCCAGACAAGAGACAAGGACGTGTAACTCTTTCCTTCCGTTGAAGGGGGAAGACTATGTTGCATGGTCTATCAGACTAGGTCACTTTGTTGATTGGTTTTGCTTTTAATTGTTTTTCTCTGCTACAAGGGAAAGTTCACTTGTGGGGGGATGTGGGAAGAAAGGAATAGGTGGCATAAATCCAGAAATGATAATAATGTGGAAACTAAAGGCATCATAAAACTTTTTTTGAAGAGTATTGGTTTGAACATGGGATTCAAAGTGAGAAAATCCAAAGTTTCCAATGGCATTGATTTCAGTGAGAACTTTCACTCAATTTCTTAAAAGTTATGAAATGAAAATGATGAAGCTGCTTTTAGGGCTGAAGTATATATCAACTTCAAGCTACTTTGTTTTCTTTTTAGGCACAGAGTTAAGTGACTTGCCCAGGGTCATACAGCTAGTAAGTGTCAAGTGTTTGGTCTGAGGTCACATTTGACCTTAAGTCCTCCTGATTTCAGGGCCAGTGCTCTATCCACAGTGCCACCTAACTGCCCCTTCAAACTACTTTGAAAAGACAAAGTACTTAATTGTACTACTGTGTCTGCTATTGTTTTTGTATGTTTACTAAATATAATAGTATGCCAACAAAAGTAATTTCTTTCTTTCAATAAATCCTTCTACTGAGGGCAATCTTTGGGTGGTATTAAGAAGTCAACAGTGATATTTAAGAATTCCCAATGCCTAAAATTTCCAGTATATACAACAAAGAAACATACACTGAATATCTCTTAAAATAGTGATTCATATTTTCCATCTAACTCAAAGTAATCTGATTTTTTATTTAAAAAATTCAAACATAAAAAACTAAGATAATATAATTCTTTTACCCTAAGGGCTTAGTTTGGGCTGGAAATCATTCCCTTTGTTCTGTACATAAATGCCTATTATTTTTGGAGACCTGGTATTCTTGAGAATCACATGCTACAGGCATTTTAAACTTATACAGATATTGTTTTCAGGCTGTGGCCTTTTTAAACAAAAATAACATAAAACCTTTAATGAGCCCTAAAAACTCAATTTTTTTTTCTTCCTAAAGGCAAATTTTTGGAAGCCTTAATCTCCTTTTAACTCTTCATATTCATTCTTCTGTCTATTCTTCTAATATTTAGTTTAACATTTCCCCCTTTCTATTATCCTTTGTTCCACATATAACTGAAAGCTATAAAACTCTGGTGTTTTAATAAATGACTGAGTCAAAAGGGAAAGGTCAAGGCAATACAATAAGCTCTTGTAATTAGAAGATGCTTTCCTACTGGGAAAACACTTTTCTGGCATGCAACTTGATGCTTTCCCTTATGATAAAGTGAGTACTAAGTTGTCAATATTTACTGAATATCCACTATGTACTGAACACAGTACTGGAAACCATGGGGAGGGACACAAATGAAATTGAAATCACAATTCCTACCCTGAAGGAGCTTAATAAACAGTTGGTGCATACAATATAGGTTAGTGGAAAAAGACCACTAACCAAGCAACAAAGAAGTGAGTACAAACTGGTGTGTACAGATAGACTTTTCCAGTAAGGAAAGGAGGAATATGAACCCAAGAGTAAATAGAGAATGCTTCCCAGAAGGAGGTGAATACTATCCGGATTTTTACTGGGTTGATGGAGGCAAAAAAGGAGAATGCCAGGTGGTATAAATGAATATGTTAGGGCAAGTTGTTTTAAAGGGACTGAAAATTGTTTGTTGAATGGAAGGCAAAGTCCATGCTGGGGAGTAAAGAAAAATGAAGTTGGTGAAATATGGAGAGAATAACAGGAAAATGTCACTGTAGGCCCTTGAAGTACAAGCAATAAGGAATTGTTGTGAAGTCCCAAATAGAAACCTTATGAACACTATTTCATACTTATTGAAAGTTATGCTGACTCAGTGACCAGTCCTGCTTCTCGATCAGTGTTGAGGGAAGCAATCTGCAGCTTTGGTATTACCTACCATCCATTATAAGCATGTCATCTCCTCCCTGTTAAACATCTTGTATAGGCCACTGGGGAAGAGCTGAGATGCAATGACCCACCCCTTTTTGCTAATATGTATCTATCCAAATTGTCTTTACCTCATTGAGAAAATTATCAATAAAAGTTCACTCCATCTTTTGCTATCTCTTGTGATCAGCCTATCAACAGGTTACTACTTTGATGTATTTTTAATAAACCCTTTCGGTTCTCTTTTCCTGAGTTTTGTCCTGTTAATCAGGGTGAAAGTGCAAACAAAGAATTTTTCTTTTAACATACTGATTAAAAAATCAAAAAGTTGATCAAAAGAAAAGGCTAGGTAAGTAAGACCCAGAAGCAATAGAACAGAATAGCATAGTATTTGATAAGGTCAAGGGTAGCAATTCCCGGGGCAAGGATTCCCTATTGGACAAAACTTCTGGGAAAACTAAAAAGCAAAACAGCAACAACAAAAAAGGAGCATAAATTAGATTTAAATCATTATCTTAGACCATATACCACAATAAACTGTAAATTTACACGTAATCTAAATATAAAAAGTTCACATCATTTTAAAAAATAGAGAAGAATGGAAGAAATTATCTTGCACAATTCAGGATAGAGAGGAAAATCTTAACTAAATAATAATCATTACAGAAGTTTTCTTTCTTTGCTTTTCTCTCCTTTTCTTTTCCCCTTCCTTCCTTCCTTCCTTCCTTCCTTCTTTCCTTCCTTCCTTCCTTCCTTCCTTCCTTCCTTCCTTCCTTCCTTCCTTCCTTCCTTCCTTCCTTCCTTCCTTCCTTCAACTGGACCTTACCAGAGCCTAAGGAGGTCAAAGACAGAGGGAAAGATTCAGTAAATACAAAAATATTTTAATCAGCAATTTTTGAAGTATCAGAGACCTGAAAGCCTTTGTCTCCCATTCCTGGAATGCACTCCCTCCTCACCTCTGCCTCAAAGAATAACTAGTTTCTGTCAAAGCTCAGGTCAAGTGTCAGCATGTACATGAGGTTTTTACTGATTCTTGAACTGCTATTGCCTCTTATATATGTAATTATATATGTTCATGTTATTTCAATCCCTGATAGAATTAAAAGTCCTTAAGGGCAAGGACTCTGATTTTTTGTCTTTTTATTCCTTTTGTCTAGCACAGTACCTGGCACATAGTAGACACTTGATAAATGCTTGTTGCTTGATTATGCAAAGTGTTGGGAGCACTAGGACAAAGCCCCTTTCCTAGACATTAACAAATTAATCCTTGTGTAGTTAAAGTCTGTCATGAGAGAAAGGTTAGAATCTAGAGACCATAGAGGAAGGATATCACTTTTGCAAGAAAGACAAATAACTCCTTCTCAGGGACTTTAGGGAAAGATTAGATTGTTTTCAAAGTGATTTTGTACTTTTGCTTTCCCACAGATTTCATTGCTGATGAAAGTTGTCTTCTGGTTCCAGTTTGGTTTTGTGGTGCTTGACATCCACGCAGTGAGGTCAATTCTCTTCTGTCCCCTAGTTTAGAGGAAGGAATTGCAGAAAACCCAATCACACATTTGGGTTTGGAAACATTGATATTTATACTCCAGGAGATTTTACTTTGGGAGAAGGAGGAGGAAAATTATATGTGACTTCTCCTGCAGTAGTAGACATTCTGTGTGTGTGTGTGTGTGTGTGTGTGTGTGTGTGTGTGTGTAGAATATTTTGCTGTAGGACGTAGAAGAAAGGCCAAATTTGGGACTACTCAAGGGGTTTAAAGGTTGGGTCTATGAAGTCAAATCTTGGTTTTCTAAGTAGCCAAATCAGTCTGACCAAGTTTGTTTGAATGACAGGGTCGATATCAGGAATCTGAGCTCTCAGGAGAGCCAGGCTGTCAAGACAGGGGTCTCAAAGATTGGAAGTGAGTTTAGGTTATGATTTTGGAGGTGGATTAAATTTGGTTACCTCAGAAACTCGGAAACAACTGTAGCATCCCAGACACTAGGAAGAAGCTGGTTTTCCCAACTGAAGATGCCTTAGTTGGACCCCAAAGCATAATATTTAGCCATGGCTTAGTTGAGATCTTCTTAGGCTAGGTTGAACCACATCTGGATACATTTCCTGCTGCCTGGTCTGTAGGGTCTCCTTATAGGAGTGACTCTAAATGTTCTCACACAGTCCAGGGGTATACTGATAAATATCTCTCCAGAAAAATTTAAAAAGGTACTTGGGACACAATTTTAAGTTTAATCGGCACTATCAACACTTTTTTGAAGTCTTGACAATCAACAAAATAATAAATCAAACCCTGACTTGTAGCCTTTGAAAATTTTTGAAAATTTTACTGAAAACGTAGTTATTGTCTCCATTCCACCCCTGTACACTGGGCAGCTGTTGTGGGAAATCAAAAACAAAAGGGAGGCAGTCAGCTTTAGTCTGATACTGGTTAATCCCCAAGCTTCAGCCTGGGTGTCCTCCAGGGGCCGTACCTTCAGGATTCATTTCTTTTGTCAACTTGAGTTTACCAACTGGATCCAGGATGCTAGATTAGGAGAGTATTTGTAGAATGAAGTGGCCCTTGCAGGCCAAGGACATTATTCCGCAGTGATTCCAGTTGAAGTTATGCAGGTAGGAAGTGGGCTGCCTGGCTGATGTTACTATGCAGTAGGCTTTGCTTTTCCAGGGGTTTCATTGCCAATGAAAGTTGTCATCTGGTTCCAGTTTGGTCTTATGGTGCTTGACATCCATGTAGTGGAGTCAACTCTCCCTTATATCTTAGTATAAAGGAAGCAGCTGCAGAAAACACAATCACAAATTTGGGTTTGGAAACACTGATACAGTCAGGTAGAGGCTGGAGGTATCTGAAACCAAATACCAAGCATGCTTTTGTTTATGCATGACTGAGTATTTCTCTTTGACTACATTTCAAAGCCAAACATGAACATTATTCATCGCTTTGTATGATTATGCTATTATTCTTTATTGTTAGTGTAAATAGTTGGGAAGAGACTGAGAAACTTGGGCTGATGATTAAAAATATATTTTGACTTTTTCTCCTAGATATTAAAGTTATAAGCAATTAATTTTAAAAAAATAGCTCCACCAGTTATTGATATCAGAGCCAACACACAACAGTGGTTAACATTTTCAATTTATGTCTGGATATTTTGGTTTCCCATACAAACAATCTATGTGTCACTCCTTTCCTTCCACTAGGGAGGCTGTTGATGTTTGTTAGCTTACTATCTGTTTACAAAATTGTACCTAATTTCTTTGGTGGTAGAATATAGTTTGTATAACCATTTCATAAAGAAAGGCACTGTTTGAATTCATTAAATGAATGCTAACTGCTAAACTCAACTGAATATGAAAGTAAGAAAATTACTCACTCTGTGGACTTTTGTAGGTCAGTCTCTGGGCAGTGACTCCTTTTAAGCCTGTAATACTGGGCTAAGTGAACAGGGTGACAGAGTAATCTTGTAGGTTTTCCTATGCTTTGATATACAAATGAAAACCATAATTAAAAAAGTTATTACTTTTGCAGGGATTCAAAACATGAAAATTATTCTTCCTCTTTCTACTTAATTCATGTGGGATTTCTATAAGCAGGTAACCGACATACCCCATCTTCCAGAAACAGTTTGTGTAATGAGAGAATAAATCTGGTAGAATAACAGGCATAGAAGTATTCATAATTACATTAGCAAGAATTGCATTGAGATATAATATATTTGTAATATTTGATTAAACCAAACTGCATAAAATACGGACTGCTAAATCCAAACACATATTCATAATAAAATATCAACATTTTAAATTATATCCTTTTAAAAATACTTCAAAAATCCAAACAACACTGTAGTACGTAGAAACAGCTGTCACTATTTATTTTAAGGTTATTTTATACAAAATGAAAATGGATAGCTTGAAGGAACAATGTTGCTTATTCTATGAACTTTTCAGGATATGATTAGTTTACCTGTTACTTATTTTAGAAAAGTTAGGATTGTCAAATAGCTTCTAAGATTATAAAGAAAAAGTGAGGATCTTAATCTTTTTCTGTTTTTGTTTCCTAGGTGCTAAGCTGAAGAATAGCCATAAAATAAAATTTCAGCCATTCCAGGCTCTGCCTTTGAATTAATTTTTGAATCATAAATTGAAAACAAAGACTTGCATAAACTTGATATTTCTTTATTCAGTCTTAAGCAAGGTCTAGGTATCTCATGTATGCTGGGACAATGGGATTGGGAAAAGGAAGGCATAATTTGGGGAAATGGGAAACAGCTCCTTGTTCTTGGTCTGGGAAAATTCCTGAGAAATTGAGGTACAGGGAATTGAGACCCCGTGGCCAAGAAACTGGAGAGTTGTAATGTCATTTTGGCATTCAGGGCACTCTGCAGCTCTCTCAGCAGATGTCAGATGTTTTCCTCAGTGTCAGGTGATAATGAGCCTTTCAAGCACCCACTGCAATAAGCATTTGATGGAATTACAATAATAGGTTCCATTACTTCTAGCAACTTTAGGCACCATTTCAGATAATTAAAATAATAAGATCAACTTTTTATTATCTAAATTGCAGATTATCAGTAACAGATAACTGTGGTAAAGTTCTTAAATAATTAGGGATTCTACTATGAAGTCCATTGTTGGCACTCATCATTTTCTTTTATTTCCAAATCAGCCAACAACAGAACAGGTGGCTTTTTTAAACCTATACAGCTACTACAATTATCCCCAAGTGAGGGAAGGTGTGAACTATAAATGCTTTGAATTTATAGCATCTTATTTTGGGCTAGTATTTTTTATCAGCCTGAGAAATGATGACACTTCTAAAAGGAAGCGAAGAGCATTAGGGAATATCGAGATGGAGTCTTGATTTGGTAAATTGCAACTTTCCAGAAGTTTATAAATCAAGTCTTCATAATTTAATAATTTTTTTGGTGGTGTGAAGCTCCAAAACATTTTGTAAGCTCATATTCAAATGTAAAACTAAGACCACATTCCCCAAATAAACTAATACCTTTTTAAAAAACTAAACACTATAAGCGGAATTAGGTGTTCCATAAAAGTGAACTGACCAGCCATTCAAACTTACTTCCATAAATACAAAATTTCTTTTATTTTAGGTACTTTTGGTGGAGATCATCATAGAATGTACTACATGGTACTAATCTCTAAAAGAGTAAACTGGATATATTTTAATATTTTCTTGACGAGTTAAGGTCATTATGATGATCAAGTATTACACAGTGTTGTAACAGAGAGAGAGACTCTCATGCTATAGAGTGATTTGGATGTGTCTCTTCTCTGTGTGTCTTTTGTTTTGGGTCCCATACCTGAGCTACCCCTTTGGCTTGGACTTTAAAAGGGGGCTACATACAGACATAAGAAGGGTTGGAGAGAGAAGCTGAATAGAGTAATAGACTGATATGGTCTCTGAGACCTGCACAAGCAGAAGGCCTCTTCAGGAGCCCTGAATGTTCTTCTACTTCCATCATTCTCTACCCTCCAGCTCTCCTCCCCCAAGAGAAAATGATGGCAGATGGAGACACAGACAAATGCGTCAAACTAAGAGGGAGTTGGAAATGCAGGAGCAGCCCTCTCCAGGCAGACATGAGAAGAGGAAAATGGACTGGCACAGCAGGGACCACGACATGCAGGAGAAGACTGAGACATTGCCTGTCAAGGGGACCCTATCTGGGTAGTACCAAAAAATTAAATGGACTTTATAGATCCCTGATGAAGTCCAGACCACCTGTTTTTTTCACTTGAGTGATTGCATGGGGGCTAAAAGCACTTGGAGCAATATAAGTCAAGTTCTCATGTTTCCAGGGAATCCTCAGGTGGAGAATATAAACCAAAATATAATTATTGAGAAGTCCTCATGGTTGAATTCTTCCTCAATGAATGAGCTCAAAGCTAAGGTTATGAGTAAGAGGTTACAGTAGAAAAGAACAGTGGCTTGGAGTAAGAATGTGCTTGAGTCCCAGGTGCTCTTCTTAATAATAATATGATCTTGTTAATTACTTAATCTTTTGGATCCCATTTCCTCTCCTTATAAAATGGGAATAATAATACTTTCATAATTTATCTCACAAGGTTGTTGTGAGGATCAGATGAATTAATAGATATGAAAATGTTTTGTACATGTAGAGCTGTTTAATGGACATTAAGTGGCCCTAGACTGCTTGAAATTTTTAGGGCTTGTGCCTGATTTTTATATATATTTTTCTGGTATCTTCCCCTTTTCTCAGCCTGTAAGCCATCATACTTGTTGGGGGCAGCTAGGTGGCGCAGTGGATAGAGCACCGGCCCTGAAGTCAGGAGAATCTGAATTCAAATTCGACCTCAGACCAAAGAGTTAACATTTACTAGCTATGTGACCCTGGGACCACTTAACCCCAATTGCCTAAAACATGAAACAAAAACAAAACAAAAACCCCCCCAAAAACCAGAATGCCTGGGTCTAGTAAACCCATCTGCTCTTTCTAATTTGCTGTTAAATAGTCTCTGGAATGAGGACTTTGTGAAATCTCTTTTGGCTGCTCAAGGTCTTTGCTTAGTTCAGATGCTTGAGGTTTCTGAATGGGTGATCCACAGATAAGCTGCTATTAAAATATTTTTTAAAAAATTAGTTATGCCACTGTTTTTCCAATAATATGAATAATAAAACTGATAGTACAGCTTCAATGACTCTAACCACAAGTGCCAATTCAATCCAATACTCATTATAAATGGCTAATATGGCCCATATAAGGAGAAATGTTGGGAAACATGGTTTGGGAGCAAAAAAACCCAAGAGAGGTAAAAGATTTGTGGGTTATACAAAAGCCACATAATTATATATCGTGATTATTTTCTTAATACTTTGAGGAGTAAAAGGATCTGGATATAAGTACCATCATACAAAATGAAAATGATTACATTTCAATGACAAGTTATTGACACAGGAATAATTTCCAATGCATAAAAAGCACTAAATTGTTAGAGCAAAGAACAAAATAATTATCAAACTAGAAGAAAAACCAAAAGTTAAAAGATAATGCAGACAATGCTATGAGGTTCTATTTCAATGCCTCAATAGAGTGTAGGCTTGCCCCTAGCTTCTCAAGGAACAAAGTTTGTCAAAAGAACACAAGCTCTAGTAGGAACAGGCTATGACTACTTTCCAGCTATAAAGAGGCTCACCACCACCAGGCTGGCCACTTGGGGATGAATTTTTTGACATGGCAACCCATGAGACAAAGAAAAATACAATTTTTTTCACATTGTCCAACTTTTGCAGTGACAATGGCAGAATGTCAGAAACAAGGACAAAGGTTGCTTAGAATCATAGTTTTGAAGACATGACAGTTTTGGTTTTGTCTTTGTATCCTCATTGACTAACACAATGTCTTTTATATAATATGCATTAAATAAATGCTAACCAAATTTAATCGAAAGTGTCACCATAAATGTTTTCTTCCAATAAGGTATTTCCTATGCATAAGAAGGGACTAGCCTATGAGAGCCCCATCCTGAGAGTATGCCTAGATTTGCCTTTACTAGTCAGTTATACAGTACATGCTCACATATCAATTTGCTTGGTTTTAATTCAATATGTGGAACTTTGGAAGCCTGTTTATAGTGAATGAGGGGCTGTGTGATGATAGAAAAATCTCTTAATTGGCTGCAGAACTGGAAGAATTGATGACTGGAAGTGCTAAGTGAGAATTGACGGGTAGGACCTGTAAATATTTCAATCTCTTTTCCTTTCTGGCAGGCAAATGAGGTAAGTACTAGGTGAAGAAGCAGTGGCAAGCTGCATTCCCTACGTGGCCACCATATGTCTGTGAGCACATGCTACGTTGTTTAATTTGCACTTGCTCTTTCTTCATTTTAGGTGAACAAGTATGCCAAAAAGAAAATTTCAAGGTGGTAATCTTGTGAATTTAGGAGAACCTGAGGTTCCATCAGAAATCCTATCAGAGGTCCTACTGTTGATTGGAATTGGCAGCAGAGTCCACTGGAGCAGTGGTGGCTGATGACAAAGGAAGTAACTCAGAGAAGATATAGGAAGATAGCAGTTTCAGGTAGTGACCCTTCAAAGTAGAGAAACACTTTCTCTGGACTTTAATGGGAGGAGTTCAATGTAGTTTCCAAGTTGAAAAAGAATTCTCCTATAGCAGGTGAGATCATCCAGTTGCTTTTATTTGTAGATAACATTGTGCTGATTGCACCATGTCCTTGATCATTGTAGAGCATCTTAAATGTTCAAAATAATTTGGCCTAAGTATCCAAGCAAAAACCCCAAGTGGATGAAGAATGTGTAGTGTCTATCACAGATTAACATGTTCAGTTGAATGAATGACTTACAAAGTTCATCTATCAGTATATTTATCTTGGAGTAACAATGCAAATGGCTAGTAAACTTCGCTAAGAACTGAAAAGGAGAAAAAAAGTAATCTGGATTACCTTTGGTAAAATACAGTTATTTTAATGACCCAAAGGTTCT